CAAAGCTTTTTGAACAACCACGTAATCATGCTCCAAATCAGTATCCCCCAGCATATCAGTAACAGATAGCACAGCATCTTCAAACATCAATTTCATCTGAACACCGTCCGGGATGTTCTTGATTTTTTTGTAATGGTCAATAACAGCTTGTACTGTTAAGGTCTAACAACAACAAAATACTTATGTTGATTAGTAAGTAGATAAATAAATGTAAAATAAAAAGGGTATAATACCTTTTTTATTTTCAACTTTTCGATTGATTCATCTTTGCTCAACAACTTTAGATGAAGATAATCAATATCCGTTTGAAATGTTTTTTCTGCATTATCAAAATCGGACTCATTGGAATTATCCGATAACAATTTTGATTCTCTCTCTATTTCCTCTAACATTTTATGTTTTAATAAGTCATTCCGTTCTTTGTAATAGTTATATGTGTCTTTTGTGAATACCTCTAAATATATAAAATATGATTAATACAGATTTTGGAATGAAATTATGCAAGATAAAACATGTACCCATATGCGCTTGACCAGACATTCCTAAACTTTCCGGTGTGCTACGCGGAAATACTTTTACTTTTTTATACGTCAACACTATATCTTGTTTCCCTATATTTCTTTTTTCACATATGTTCTTTATCATTAGCTCGAAATTGTCTTGCTAAAATCAAATGTAATAATGATATAAAAGATGCTTAAATATATCGTACATTATTGAACCTCTTTTCTATTCAACGGCATGGTAATAAATACACACCGCTTTCATGATAAATTTAATAGGCTTGTCGAATTCAGTCTGAGTGGTTCTGTTTGCATCCATAGTTTGCATACCCGGATGACGAACAGGAAATACTGTTATCTCAACTTTAGCATCAACGTATCTGTTTGATTTTCCATTTGGCTGTTTAATAGACTGTTGAATAGCTAAAAGTTCAGGATCTAACTCTATATCATCCTGTGGCTCGTAAGATATACTTGGTGAACCGATGTCGACATTTTCAGATCGAAGCCCTTCTGAATATTGTGAGAGTGTCGCTCTATCCGGGAAATTAGATCAGCAAAAAATAATTATAACAAATTTAATGAACAAACAATCCAGGGAGATACCTTAGTGTGCCAACCGTAGTTCTTAGTTGATATTCGTTAAGTTCGGGTGGTGGTGTTAAAGATGGCTCTCTGTCTATCGGATCCGAAATCTTTTTTTCGTCATTAGTTTCACTTCTTTCCATGGTCTCATCTGAA